TGTGAGAGCTTCAGTACTCCTTGGGTGGTGTAATAGGTGTTGGCAGTCTAATTTTCTGTGGTATGCAGTCTGGAAGCAATGGGATGTGATGAGAGAAAAAGAATGGCATCAGAAAACATATGTCAAAATACAGCCCTCAGTGAAGCCTTTGTTGGCTGAAGAAGTCACTATGCATACACTATGATATCAGAACCTGATAAGTGGCATCATGGAGTGTCTCTCCCTATAGGCAACACCAGTTTGCTCAGGATGAGATACTTCCAGGAAGGAGAAGGGGAGTGGCCCAGGGAGATTATTTGGGAACCTGGTTTCAGTCCTGCTCCTCATGGTGAATTTAATGGAAGTGAGAAGGAGCTCTAGGTAGGCATGGTAGTAGCTGAAGAGGAGCTAGAGAAGGGCATCAGGGAAGTACGGTGAAGGCCCAGTGGCCAACAGATGGGCTGAGATTTTATGGATGGGACTGGCAGTAAAGCAACATGGTTTGAGGGGTTTCTCTGAGGACAGCTGTCCTCTACCGTGAGGAGAAGGGAAGGCTCTGTCGGGCAGATACGCTAGGTATGTTAGGTGCTGATAATATCAGAGCCTGGCAAAACATGCAGCAGCCTGGTTAAGGGTAGATCAGATGTGCGTGTTTTGGAGACGGCAACATCCCTCAGAAGGGTGGAGCAGATGGCTGGAGGCGGTAACTGCTCCAGAGCCAGCGTGATGTGCTGCTGCATGTCTGGCAGCCTCCATGCTGGCAGCAAGGCTTTTCCTTCCAGTGCTGTCGTGAATGGTCTTCTGGTGCAGGGGGTATGACATCAATTTGAGTTATGCTGCTATTGTAAGGTTTCATGGTCTCAACTGAGGCAAATCCCAGCAAAACGTTCAATATTTAATCTTTTTTCCAGTATTTCTTCCTATTCTGATGGTAGATCTGGTTAAATCTCCCCATGCAAAAATAACATTTTGGATTAGTTCTGTCAACTTTTTGCAGAAGAGACAGTGAAATCTGGAATATGCCGGAGTTCTGCACGTGTTCCTCCACAAAGGAACCGTTCCCTGCGGAGGAGGTCGCACAAGGAGGCAGATGAGTGTTTACTCAAGATGCCTTGCATCTCATTGCAGATACAATGTGATTTACTAGTTGCCATGGTAACAATGCTTTTTTCATTCCATAACTTGAATAAATGTTGAGGTTGCCCTTGGTATAACTAACTTAACTCGCTTCTAAAGCTGGGCACGCTTGTATTATCTGAGGAAAGCAGAGAGGAGACTCCCAACATTCCTACTGAAATAAATTTAGAGCATGTAGGTACATAACAAGCAGGTACATGACTCCATCAGGCACAAAATAAGGAGTTTAAATTAATAATTAATAAAAAGTTGAAATTAATATGCTATTTTTTAAAATTATAAAATAAAAAGAAATATAAAATGTTGCTTCATATTGTGGTGTCATACATTTTTCTGTAATTTGTATCGTTTGTGACACTTTGGTTTTCTTCAGTACATGAAAACTTATTTAATCATTTTATAGTATTTTCATTATATAAGTATGCAAAAGAAAGGACTTTTCTTCTTCTTCCTTGTAATCTTGCAATAAAATTTCTTTATTTCTTGGGTGCTATAACCTCCAGTTCTGAATTAATTATTGCGGACAAGAGTTGATTCCTGCTCTTTCCCACCTCCCTTATTCTTTTATGTTTTCCTTTTGCTAAATGTGGACAAAAAACATTGTACAAAAAAAAAAAAAAAGAATCCTTTAATTTGCTCCTGTGCATGTAACATTAGTAAAAAGCATTCTATACAGAAGCAGCCTGATTTTTCTCATTTCTACAGTTATTATTGATATCAGTGAGCATTTTATCTCGCATAATAAATGCAGAATCAAATCTCCTGCTATTAGGTGAAAAGAGTGAGTTTTATTTTTCCTTCTAACTCCTTTTTCCATTTCCTTTTTTTTTTTTTTCCAGCTTTATTGCATGCTCTACACATTTCTGTCTACTTAGGATCCGTTATCAAGTCTGTGAGTGATTAGTGGCTTATCTATGTTTGAATGATTTAGATTCATGAATTAATTAGCAAGAAAAGAACCATTAGAAAGCATTAGTAAAAAGGCTGGTGATTTCAGGCTATTTTGGAGAGAATTAGAACTGTCATCCAAACCCAAGGAAATTGTAGCCATCGTGATTCATGCTTTCCTCAAAAGAAATCTCTGTATTATGTCTAACTTAGTTGAAAACAACCACCAAACCACAGGATATAAATTCTACTTTGTGATGACTGCTATTGGTCTAGAAGTTAAATAAATTGTTTTGATTTTAAACATTAGCTTTGCTTTGTTTTTTTCTTTTTTACTCCTTTATTCAATACTTCTTCACACTTGCAGTTAAATGTTGGTGCATTTGAGAGAGTTTGATTCTGGAGCTCTTGAGAATGAGCTTGAGCTTTATAGAGTACTCTCAGTTTTAGACAACCTTTTTTTTAAGCCGTTTATGAGGTCAGAACCAACTCCTGACCTTTGCTGAGAACTCTTTTTTGAAAAATTATCTGCATCCTTCCTTCAGCATAACACTTCAATAAAAAGATATATGCCTCACAGTGATAAGTGTGATGGGCAGCAATAGGCAAGTTTTAACCTTCCTAGTTTGGAATTGTGGCTTATTATAGGAATAGTGTACAAATTAAATTTAATTTTATTTGTATTGAAATGATGGCATTGGCAGCATTGAGAGGTATTATGGACATAAGAGACAAAGATTTCTCTAAGAGACAGTAAGGGGATAAGTGAGGTTTTTTAAATCATATTTTGCTGTGCACCTAGTATTAATTGGAGTGAAAGACAAAGAAAAGCATCATTGCTCTTGTCTGACTTAGAAGTTGTATGTGTTCAGAACCGGTAATTAGAGCAATATAAGGCTGACAGTGTCAGGTATTTACTGCCATCTCTCTTGCATTCCTTCAGGAGACTTTATTTATCACTGTTTCCATTATAAAGGTTGTAAGGCCTTGGTACACCTGTCCTTACCAAGGTGAATATTAGTCTACATTAATAAATTAAATCTACTAATGTTAGTGAGCTGTGTTCTGCAGTTCTCATTCTTGAGTGAGAGCTGTATGGGGGCTGCCAGAGAAGTCAAGTTCCAGCCCTATGAGATGTTAATCAAATTGTTATCTATTTCCCCTCATATGCCAGTAATTTCTAGAATTTCACCCATTTGATATTAGGATTATACTCAAGTATAATTTCTGTATATCTACACAACTCATTTTTCTTTCCCTAAGCCATATATGAATAGTAATATATGTTATCAGTCCTAGGGTATCCAGGTTAAATCTGCAGTCCTTCTTGAAGCCTTGGCACTCCTCCCCCCTTCCTGGCTGAAACATAAGTCCTGCAGTTTTTATCTCATTTCCCTCATGCTCTTCACTGCAGCTAAGGCCTGAACCACTGCCACTGATATCACTGGAAATCTCCCCCAGAGAGCTGGAGGATTGAACTCTTGTTTCATCTACATTATTCTATTCTATTCTATTCTATTCTATTCTATTCTATTCTATTCTATTCTATTCTATTCTATTCTATTCTATTCTATTCTATTCTATTCTATTCTATTCTATTCTATTCTATTCTATTCTATTCTATTCTATTCTATTCTATTCATGATACTTGCATCTGGTCTTTGAGTTTTTTGTCCTGAAGAAAACCTTACATTCTTGGGAGGAAAACAGTTCTGATTCTGGTGAAAATAATACAGTTGCAAAACTCTCTTAGGGCAGAAATACAAATTTGATTTTCCTGACACTTACCTTGGGACCTGGACCTCCAGGCCTGTTGAGCTCCTGTGTGGCAGGGGATGCAGAAGCCCTGACAGCCTGTGGTAGGCAGTATATGCAGGCAGTGGGGAAAGCCTGGCTGGCTCCTTTCTGTTCAAACTGACATGTTCTGGCACAGTTTCAGTTGTACTGAATTAATATTTTTTCAGTGAAAATAAAGTTTAATTGGGAGATTTCCAACTAGCTCCATACCTCACCATGCTAATTGCAAAGCCACTGGAAGGGAGGGTTGGCATCTGCCCCTTTTGATCTACAGTCATGTTAATATTCCCTGGTGTGGTGCAAGTTTTTCTACAAATTCAGATGCTCTAAGCCTGAAATTCTTCCATATACTGACGTTTTTTCAAGCAAATGCTGTCCTGCCAGCTGTGAGAGAATGATAGCAATATTAATACCATCATCCCATTTTTTTTTAGGCTCTCTTCACTCCCTTTTCCTTTCTTCTTTCCCCCCTGCTTTTGTATGGTTGCAGAGAGATCTCAGTTGTCCTTGCCAAGGTGGTAGCTCTCTGTCAGGCTGTCAAATTTACCCACTAATAGCCATGAAGAGTGTAGGCTCTGAGAAAAGGAAAACTGAAATGCACAGCCTTCAGTTGTTGTGAAAAGGCATTTCTCATTACCCAACAAAGAATTGTGGAGTGCTAAGGTTATGATAACATTACGTCGGTTATGACACCAGTAATGGCTTTCTTCATATTATTTTAGAAAGTGTGCCCTTTTTCCTGTGTTGCTTCCTTTCATTAAAGCCCAATCCTTAAAGTGTTCTCACCTTATATATATTTAGAGGAAATTGGGGTGTGAAGAATTTGGACTCCATTTAAGACATTTCTTGCACGTCCAAACAGCGGTGCTGCAGCTCAGCACCATCAAAGTGTGCAACAGGGAAGTGTACACAAGGATTCCTGTTTTCAGTCATGGATTTTATGCTTCTGTTATTTTCCAAGGAATATGAAGGGTTTTTTTAACTGTGAACCTTCTGGTGGTTGGACTTCATCTAAAAGGTCTTTCTATTAAAAGCTTCATGAGGTTCCTCTTTTTTTACTTATTTGCCATTCTTTAATTGCACAAACTTTTTTCATATTTTGAAGTGGCCTGCAAAATGAACCCCCCCCACCCTGCTTGTAGTTGTACCACCGCTTGGGAACAGTGTGCAACTGAGTTTTTCATTTTTTTCCCCCTTAGGACCTGACTTCAGCCCTTCGGCTCACTTAAGGACTCGCATTTAGCAATGCCCTATTCCCATGAGCCGTTTCTTTCTTCTTACTAATAGAGAAAGCAGAATAATCCTACTCTCAGCAGTTTTGGGATTACAGGCAAAAATTGTGTTCCTTGATGTATGACTGTGTAGGGATATTAATCTTTTCCCTGATGCCTGTTGTCTGTCATCTCTGTCTTAGCAGTGCTGTCCTTTTGACCCCTCTACAAGGATAACTTGCTATTACCGTTGCCTTTGCCGCGGATGCTCGGTATGCAGATGACAGCACCAACAGTTTTTCTAAAAGGGCTTGTTCTGTGCATTATCAGACACAGTATTCAAAACTGCCTTCAGCAACAAAGGATTTTGATTTTTTTTTTCCCCCCTGTGTTGTGGCTCGTGCCCATTTTATCACCATTTGTGTAGCTGATCAATTCAGAGGCTGTGTTGAGCCGAATGTTGTGCATCTGTGGGAATGATAGTGTGAGATAGTGTGAGACCACTAGGAAGTTTTGGTACAATTTCTGGGTGCTTTTTCCTAAAGGGAGGTTGTGGTCAAATATTTAGAGTGTTTTATGGTTTTACAGACTGGTCAGAAGTCACTGAACCAGAGCCACCAAAACAAAATCACTCTGTGAGGCATTTTAAAGTCATTAATCGATTTCTACCAGTATACTGTGCTTAGGCCAGTTTTATGAAAGGATTTAACATCTGTAGCTGAAAACAAAAATATAACAGAGAACTGGGGAAAAGATCATGACCTCAGAAAAAATAATAAAATGCAATAACTATATCCTATGAGCTGTATTTTGTAATGAAATAACACAGCCTTATGTAACATTTTTTTCATACTTAATATGACAAACTTCTGTTGATGGTCCTGCAGTCCTGTAAGGTGATTTTTCCCTCAATATTTGGAAAAAGTGCTGATCTTGCAACTGCAAAACAGGCAGTCCCATTGAAAACGTTTCATGTTTCGATATTTTAAATTGAGGTGGAGTAGTAACTATTTTTTATTTTCATTTTCCTAAAATAAGGAGAGGGGAACCATTGCAGAAAAAATACTGGTCTCCTCCTTATATAATGGGGTGGCGTTGTGCTGGTGACTTTGAAAGCTTTTTTCCTGTGGTAGTTGAAAGTGAATCAAACATCTTAATACAGATTTTGATCTCTCTTGAAACCCTGTGAAATGCAGTAACATATTCTGAGATGGATTATCCACAGAGATCAGAGATATTGTCATCCATCTTCACGTTAATTGTGATCTGTTCACTTCCAATTTTTTTGTCAAATGAAGGGGAATAGCCTGTGAAGAGTAGAGTAATTTTTGTACATGTTTGTACTTTGGTGACTTTAGATTTAATTTTGTAGTTTCCACAATAACAGATTCCTGGGGAAAACACAGTGAAGTGTAAGAAGGTGATCATCTTTAGTCTTGATAAAAGCTGTCTGAAAGCGTATCTTAGATCTGTTAACAGAATGTGTTTCATTGTGTTTCTTTTTTTTTCCCCCTTTCTTTTATGTTTGCAGTATAAATGTGCCTATATTGTATAGCCAGGACTCACCTCATTGTCTATTATTAACACTAGCAAATGTCTCACATTGTAAGACTTCATTTTCCATTGCATCTAGGAGTTGCATCTTTTCTGTTTATTCTGAAAGTTTATTCTGTGACAGCTTAGGTAATTTGATATGAAAAATGCAGCCAGCATTGTTCAGAAACAGCTAAGAGTGAGGTATGGGGTAAATATTGTTTTTATATGTTTTAAAAAGAATTTTAAAAATTTAAAAAATTTGGCAGTAGTTCTCTGAAAAGCTCTTATGCCCTTATTATTCTGAGGCGGGATCTGAAATCCCTTTGGGGATTTTTTTGCCATCTTCATAAATATTTACTCAAATATGACCTGAGTTAGAGGCCAAAAAGTGCAGTTTGTACAAACTTTGTAAAGAGTTTCTAGAGCTCTGGAGGTGAATATTTGGAGGCTCTGGAAGCTCCAAGCATGCTTCAGCCTGAGCTGTGAAGGATTTTCTGTACAGCTGAAGCTCCTGGTTGTTACAACCAGAATGTGCTTGTAGGATGTAAAGAACCAGGACAGAGATTTATCTCTGTCACTTTGGGTGTGTCCAACCTAGTCCTAGGTGGGCAGGTTTGGGAACCTCAGTGCCCACTGCAGAGGCCTTTTGTCTTAGCTTGGACCCAGTCTCAAAGCTAAGTCTCAACATATGCTGAACAAGCAAGAGGTGTAGAAATGGAGCAGGACAGAGTAAAAAAAAAAGGAAAAGTGTTTTATTCAAAGGAAATTAATTAGATAATACAAAGGTTACCAGTCAGTGTTTCTCATTTTTTTGTACTTGACTTTTCTGTCTTCAAGTTCTTGTAATTCTTCTTTTGCATGGATTATGTACACCAGAGATATTATAATATCCAAGCAAAAAGACACCTGCCCAGCAAAACAATCAGTCTTTGGAAATGAGGATCTTGTTATTTGATGGCTTTTTTTAGGCTCTGTCTCCAATTTGAGAACTTTCCCTGCATGGCAGTTGAAGCTTCTCTACATTTGTTCTTCTGACCCCACTTCCTGACTGTACTCTTAGGTTTCACACTGCTTACATGGAAATATTCCTGTGTGCACCAGGAAGCTCCTTAGGTTCATTGAGGGGAGCAGTCTCCTTTTCAGAACACAAACAGCCCTGGGAATCTTCTACGTACGCCTTTTCCCGAACCTCTCAAGGGCATGACCTGGCACCAGCATCAAAAGACATAGAGGCAGAAGTGATTGACATTATCTGATTGTGTTGAGTCAGTTTTACCAAATTATGCTAGGAAAACAAAATGTTCCTGCCCTCCATAACTTCTAGAAGAGGCAATTTCTTTGTTATTTATTGTGATTTTGAAGCAGATAGTCTGTGTGAAGTTTGCCTTGTTGTATGTTGCCCAAAGAAAATTCCCTTTGCCTTTGCTTGGTTATTTGGCAGCAGGAAAAGTCTGTCTGTGCACTGGATTTTCCATGCTCCATTAAATTTATAGGTGCTTTATAGGTTATCTCTTATTTCCTGTATTATTTTTTTACCCACTGAAACTGGCAGTGTGTGAATCTGTCTGGATCTGGTATTGGCTGGGCTAGCTCCGTGTCTGACACCTTTTTAATAAAAGCAGGTGAAGAAATGTTGGACAAAAGTTCTGTCCTTGGGAAGTGCACAGTTTGCATTGTTGGTTAGGGATGCTCCAACATAACAGGCACTTCAGCAATGAGCAACATAGATTAATCTTTGTGCAGTTGTCCTGTCCTGGAGAAATTATGTGAAAATGGATTTTCTTTTCAGTGAAGCAGGCTTCTGAATATACTGTTTGTTGCAGAGCATAATGTTTTGGGTTTTTTCTCTGTTGGAAAGTAGAGCAGCTTTTAAATTCTATTTCTATCAGTGGAGGTTTCTCACAGGAAGAGAGGAGGCAGTGCATTCTGGGTGTTGGGTCTTCTTTTAATTAATTAAAAGGCCAAACTCAGGAATTCAAGAAACACAGAAATATCCCTGATTCCAAAGTTATCCATTGGGTTCTTCCCTGCCGATTGCAAATAACCCAGAAAATGAATGTCTCCCATAAGGAAGCCAGCCCACTGTGGCTGTTTTCAATAATCCCATGGGTTCCTTCTGCTTCCTTCTTCCTCTGTGCTAATTCAGGGGGTCATTTTCCTGCTCATGCAAAGTGTAACTCACAAGTTGAGGCCCACTAAGCAAGGCCTTCCAGCTGTTTCATTCCTATAAGCATATAAATATTTATACCACCCCAGGGTTCCTTTCATGCTGAAAATAAAGGTAGCACTTGTCTGCTATTAAAATATATTACCCAGGAGATAAATGGCTTACCTCAGTATTAGGAAGATGGATGAGAGGAGTGGAAAATTTGCTGTAATACTGCTTGGAAGATTCACTGAGTCCAGAGAACCTCGCTATTTACTTGAAACTCCTGATAGGAACTGACACTGAGGTTGATAGTGCTGTGTTTAGCTATCAAGAGATGATTAATTAAAAGTGGTAATAAATGTGAAATATAGTGGTTGACGCATGCAGAACTAGCTAAATTTCCTTGTGATGGGTAACGTGCACCATGGATTGATTATAACATCCTAACAGGATGTCAGTGGTGCTTTTGAAGGTACAGATGAGACAGGGAGAGTGTGCATAAGGCCACATGTAGAGTGAGATGGCAGTATTGATCCTCTACCCCTTCCTATCCCATCTCAACTCCAAATGCATTCTAATCAAGGCTGCTGGGAGTAATTTCCTACCCACTGCACTGGAGCAAAGTAAATATCAGATAGGCAGTGTGAGGGGCTCAAAATCCACGTGCCAGTGTGGCATCACCCACAAGTGAACTGGGATTCTGTGGTGGCTTCTCTGCCCTGATTCCTCTGCCTGGCCATAACATGAGAGATGGTGATGCCGTGCCTCTGTGCCCCTGCATGGCCAGCACAGGTTGCAAGGGCTGTGTGAAGGTCTGGGAAACTGCTGGAAGGCTTCACTGTTAACTGGAAGCGTGATGAGGACGTCTCTTGAGTCAGTCGGCTGACTTTCAGATGCTCTGCTAGGGTGCTGCCTTGCCCTTCAGTACACACTGCTGTCACTTGGGGGCCTCTTGCATCCTCCTTCTCATCTGTCACGGGATTTAGACGGAGCATGCTGAGAGCAGCTCGGTTTTCTTCCAGCAAGAATTATTTCACGGGCCATTCCAGATTCTGATAAATGAAGCGTGCCGTGATGTTTTAGAGTAATATCCGTATTGAAATCGGAACTTGTGAAAATATGTGGGACTTGCCTTTGTGCTTTGCTTTGTTCAGGTTAATTGTTGTGGCTCGTTGTATCATTAAAGGGCTTGACTGAACACAAAAAAAGTCATGTTAAAGTGGAGGTTTAATGAAATAGCAATTCCTCCCTTAAAGTGAGATTGTTTTTGATATAAGATAGCAAAATTTAGAAATTATTTATTCCTCTCCTTTTTTGGAGGGGAAATATTTAT